CAATGGAAGAATGTTCGAGGTTGGGTTCGAACCTAACATGCAACTATTTTAACTCCGCGGTGGGCTTGGTTGCATACGCTCAATAATGCGGGCGCAATCTGAGATCTGCCCGCGGCTTTCACGATACAGTCGTGCAATTGGTTTTTTCCTCGAATGTGATATCTGCTCCGGTCAACGATTCGGACGCTTCTGTCGCACAGATTTTTGACGCAATTTTAAAAAAACTGAGATGCTTTCGGAAAGCCAAACTCGACATTTAAATAATCCACTGAACGTAATAAGAATGGAAGAATACACGAAGTTGGGTTTGGAAAACATTTTAACTCATGAGCCGAGTTGCATACACTTTGTGAAAGCACTGATCGCACCGGTGAGTATGTGCACGCGAGTCCCGTATACTATAACGCGAGCGCGCGTGAGCCGTAGGCAGATCGCATATTTCGCCCGCAAAATCTAGCGTATGCAACCCAGTCCACAACGGAGTTCAAATAGTTGCATGTTGGGTTCGAACCTAACTACGAGGATTCTTTCATTGTTCTTCGCGTTGTCTTGAGTTGAAGGAGAGCTCTGTTACCTATGATGTTAATGAAGGCTCAGATTTTATAGAAATGATGATTATGAACATGGTTCATTCATCAGAACAGCAAACTGATAGAAGTGTGCGTGACCTAAAGCAACAAATGGACACTTTCAATTCGAATTTGCAGTTTCAATGAAATCTATGGTTAAGACAGTAGATTAATATTTCCTAACGAGCTTTACACTTTCCGTAATTTCAATTAAACCCATTCTGCGCGAAAAAAGAGAGTTTTAAGTACGAAAGCATAAAATGAAGACATAATATTTGAAGTAAGGTCTAGCAATCTGATGGCGGTGATTCAAATCTGCATACAGTTTTCATTTAAGGAGAATGAATTGCCGTGCGAATATTGCCCTGGGAAACTTTGTTTGTGGTGCAGCTTCCTGCTTTCAATTTTGGCAATAGCTAATGTGTTTTGGTTCCTTTCTGCTAAACGCGGTCCAAATGTATGGATCGTATTCGATACATCAAACAGGTGAGATTGTATCGCGATGTCGATTGGTTGAATATGTAAACGTAGCCTTAAAAGTCCACACAGAAATCTAATGTAACGGGATTTTTGTAATCGAATTTTTATTCTCTCCAGTATCAAATGGCAATGGAAAGTGATATTGATAGGAATTTTCTCATTTTCAGCTTTTCCACATTATAAATCCTAAAATTTTTCTTAGAGGTTATTTTCTATTGTTTTGAACCCAACGATACATCGAACCACTATCGAATACGATTTATTGTCTCTGCAAAGCCGTGGCGCGACCAAGGTTGCCAAATTATATCTATAGATTTTGATAAGGAGCCCGAGAAGGACGGCGTGGCAACTGCGCAGCCGCAGAACACTTATCATCTGGAGCTAGGCCGGAGCCGGAAGTACTCGGCGCAGGCGCAGGCGTTTCCCTGAAACTCCTCAAAATAGATAAGGTACTCCATCCGCCCCGCCCCCGCCCGCCTTGTCAGAGACACAAACGCTGCGCTGATGAGGGTGAGGGGCTGGCCCCCGCCCCGATTGTGGGCTTGGCGGGGCTTTGCGGGTCGAGAACAATCATTATTATAATACAGCATCTCGAAGCATATTGAATATTGAAACCTTCAAATCGAATTTAATCCAGTAAACGCGTCTGGGAGGCTGAGATCACGCATTTCACAATTAGGTACATCGAGATCCTACCAGACACAGTACGGGGTGAGGTAAATAAACGTTAAGTTTGGTGGTCAATGCTACTTTTCGCCCGATCATTATAGATGAGCAATTGGACCGCGTTTAACAGAAAGGAACCAAGCCACATCAGCTATTGCCAAATTTAACTGGGCAATTTAATTTTGTACGAGAGAACGTTTGGCGGATTTCTTTGAAAAATTTAAAAAATTTGCCGCGTACTATGGAGAAAATGCACTGAAATTTGCACCAGAATCCGCACAACCGTTTTCATGGAAAGCATTCATTTGCCTAATTGAATTTGGCAATAGCTGATGTGGCTTGGTTCCTCTCTGTTTAACGCGGTCCAGTTTGTGGAGCTTAAAATTTACCAATTCGATAATCAAAGTGCAAATTCACTGTACCACGTATCTCCATTTATGACGTCAGTTGCCGTCCTTAAATTACGTAACGTAACCCCCTTGCCTTTTCGGAC